ACTAGTCAGCCAATGCGACTGATCTTGGAGGTTCAATAAAAGTGGACAAAAAAATGAAAATGAAAAGTGTTGGGGTTGATCTTTCATGACAAGCTATCAAATTTGAATGACCCCTTTTATTTCCAACTATCCTCATTGAATAGTTTAGGCCACAAATCTAGTGTATGCAAAGAATTTTGGGAATTTGACATGCACTCATGAATTTCGAACAAGAAGTCGAAAAATTTCAATTTAGCCTTATTCCTTAAAATCTATCATGAAATCTCTTAATGAGCAAATAAAGAATGAATATATACAAAACAATAATTGTCTAAATAAAAACTTTATTATTCAAATGTTTGAAAATTTTTTTGGTCAAATATAATACATGTGAGCAAATAAAAATCTCTAAAGAATACATTTTCAAATATATACACACTTTCTCTTTCTATCTTTTGAGACAAAATATATTAGAAACAATGAATCAAAAGATTTTTGAGATACTTTACACTAGCGTTTTCAAATGGATTTTTCATTCATTTTTTTCATCATCATTTTTTTTAACATTGTAAGATCTGCCCAAGAATCAAGTAACATTTCTAATTTTCAAAATTTATCAGACCAAAAATATTATCAGATATATGAAAAATATTTTTACCCTGTTGAAACAACTTTTATAAATGCAGGGGAGGGGGAAAAATTAAAAGCAAAATACCCAGAGTTAGTAAGCAAAACTGCAAAATCGGTATGCATGTCCTATGGTGGAACCCTTTTATGCCAAGGGTTGGCCTAGTATGAAAAATGCAATCCTCTGGAGTAGGCACCATACAATACCTGATGGATCCGATCGACTTATTGAGATTCAATGAAAAGACATTTTTGAAAAAACTGAATAATTGAAGTGACAAGAGACAATTTGTCCTAACAAAATGAGGACAAAGTCCGAATGGATTGATTGCTTTGATTGACACATAAAATGATATCAAAATCAATTTAGTGTGTAAAACTTACTTTTGAAAGGATTGAAATGTCTCGACTAGTTTCTTCGGTGAACCATAGATCGAAACTTTAAAAGAGAATAAATAGGTTAAATGAATCGAATGAAATTGATGGTTAGTTCAAAAATTGACTGGATTATCCTGAAAGTGAATAAAATCGATCCAATGGATTGGAAGAAATTGAGAATTTATTCAAAAAAATAAATTTGATTAAATGAATAATGAATTGAATGAAATTGATGATTAATTCAAAATTGATTGTATTGTCCTAAAAATGAATAAATTCGTCAAATGGATTGGATAGAATTGACAGTTTATTCAAAAATCGACTGGATCACTGACCAAATGAACAGAATGAAATTGATGATTTATCCAAAATGAAATTGAATGAAAATGAAATTAAAAATGAGCAAAATTGTAAGGATCGAATGATCTATAAAAAAATCGATTCAATCATCTTAGATGTAAAAATGGAATGAATGAAATTGATGATTTATCAAAATCGATGGAATTGTCTGCCCATTGGTAGTTTCAAAAAATTCATTGTGATTCATTAGTCTATGAGCCTTCGGAAATCAAGATTTGACCTTAACATACTTATCATCTCAACAATGAGGAATTTGTGAATTTCTTCAACTTAATGTCCTTTACGCAAGGAATTTTTACCAATTCTGATAAAATGGCCAAAAAAGTGATTATTAAAGGCTCATATTCTAATGCGTAAAAACTGTTCCATCATTCTCAATGCCGTCGCACAAAAGGGATCGAATCCTACCTTACCTTGTGCACTACCCCTTTGGATGGTACAGAAAATATAAACGTGCAAATCTCATTGGATTACATATCCGAGACAAAATGTGACTTATTCCTACCGTGGGATTCCCTATGCGGCATTCCCTCTATGGTTAATGCATGATGACAATTTATTAAAGCATATTAAATATAGAATGAAATAATTGAAATGTGACCTAAAAGTGCCCCCTTTAAATGCCGGGGTAAGCCTAAAATGATGTGCAGTACATATGCATATGCAATTGACTAAAATTTAAACATGCTTGATATAAGAGGTGGTCTTATCTTAAACGAGTACCATGTTAGGACTCTTATTTCTAAAGTTTGTGTATGCAGAAAAAGGGAAAACAAGGAGAGGTTAGTTCAACAAGTAACATATAACACGTTGTGACAATAAATGATACAAGAATGAAAGGTAAATAAAGCAAAGAAAGAGGGGTGAAATCCCTCCCCTCGTGCTTAGTGCTCCTAATTGGATAGGTTGACTCTATCCTAGGTAATTTCTAATATGGATGCATGAGGTTTGGCTTACTAATGCATCTAGACTCGATAAGGTTTTAGGCTCCCAAGCCTTCAGACCAAAAAGTTAAGGGTCATCAATCCCAAAACCTTCGGTCGGTGGCTTGAGTGATCCCTTAGGCATCGCTATGGGCGCAGAGCACACCATCCGCCTACCTAAGAAAATCGATCCTAATCCTACAAGGAGATGTGGGATGGCGCCCACGAGAAAAAATAAAAATAGGGTAAAAATAATGCATGCACGTATGAAGTGCTTCCTTTTGAGGGGAGAGATTATAATTAAAACACGTGTGGAGGCTCTACGGTGATATCTTCCCCCACCCAAATGCAAAGCGCGATACGAATAAATAAATAAACAAGCCATTCATCACATACACGTAAGACGAGGAACGATTACGAGTGTGAAATGCAAAACATCCTAAAAAAGAAAAATGCAACCTAAAACATCCAAATATGATAAATATAAGGGTTAAAAAGAGAAAAGACGACTAAGCCAAGTGCTTGGACTCTCTAACCTCCCCAGTGGAGTCGCCAAGTTGTCGCGCCCCATTTTTCGCGATGGAAAATAAAAGGTGTTTATAAAAAGATGTGATTTATTAATAATAAATGAAAAAGGACCTAGAATGGGACTTTAAAAAATGCGACAATTTGGATCCAAAATTTAGTCTAAAAGGGTTTTGAAGAAAAATTAGGAGTCGCCACTTGGTATGGAGTTTTGGTGTACCAAGTCACCAAAAAAAATATTTTTTTTGACAAAAATAAAATAAATCAAAACCCTTTTTGACAACTCCAGGTCTTTGAAAGCAAGAGAAAATAGGTTCGGGAGTCACGGTTGAAGAAAGGGAAGGCAAAGGTTTAATTGACTCAAACCTAAGGCACCCTTTCAACCTAGTCTAAGCTAGTTGCGAGGTTTAGTCAAAATTTTCCTAATCTAACCCTTAATTTTATCATATTTGGATGTTTCCTATATGGATGCAAATCTAAATATATCGAAAGGGACAAAATGTTCATTCAAGGGGTTTAATTGAACCAATCGCATTAATTGCGAAGCCCAAAATGATTCCTTGAAAGTGTCACGAATATGCAAATGATGAAATTAAAATAAAAGAAAAGAAATTAAATTATATACATATATATAAGTGATCAAAGAAAAGGAGAATGCAACATAAAGGGTACGGGGGGCAAAACTCGTGACATAATTTTCTTATACATGGATTAATAGGGTACTTAAACTAGAAAGTTATAATCACCCATTTCCCATGTTTGAAAAATAATTATCCTAACATGAACAAGCAAATGAACTAGCTTAAATGAGATGCAATTCTAAATGACATGATTAGCACCTATAGCGGGTAGGGGATAATATAATAGGGAATATCATGCAAATGAGAAAAGATCCTAAAAATGAAAATATGCATGAAAATGTAGTGAATAGCATACAAAGATGAATCTAGCGCAAGATGACCTAAAGGGTCTAGCATTGGACTAGCCCATTTCTAAAAGTCCTTACTAGCGTTGGACTAGCAAGTAAGCGGAGGGAGAAACCACAACTAGCGTTGGACTAGTGTGGTGACGTCATGCATTAACAATTCATAGTGAAACAAATAAAACATAAATTAAAACAAATAAACACATAAGAGCACGTAGCACATAACACGTAAACATAATATCTAGATGCCAAAATCCTAAGAAAAGCGGATAAAACACATAACACATAAACCACATAAACACGCAACCTATCTATTACATCGGGGAGCGCCTAACTACAATCTAGAAGGGAAAAATATAATAAAACAAATCTAATTATCCTATCTATTACATTTTTGAGGTATTTAAATACCTCTCGAATCATTATAAAAAACTAACTAACATATATAAGAAAATTTGAATGAATATTTAAATCAAATAAATAAAGCATATAAAAATATAAACACATAGGAACACATAAGAGCACATAAGAGCACATAAGAGCACGTAATTGATATTGAAATAATAAAAATAGGGGTACCTCCCGTTTGAAGTGGTAACTAAATGGAGTCAAATTGTCCTATTTATACTCACAATGAACAAAAGAGTCATGGCACCAATTTAATTGAAAAAACCAATAATAATAAAAGTACTAAGCTCACGCTAATATGTCAAACATAAAGAAATTTAAAACATCTAAAAATTACAGGTTGAATATGTTCAAAAGTAACATAATTAGTTATTGAAGAAAATAAACAATCATAATAAAGAGAGCCAAAATTTGCCAAGGACTGAATTGCAAAAATTGAAAACTTTTGGGGGACAAAAATTATATTTTTCAAAGTTCAGGGGTCAAAATTAAATGAAAGATAAAATTCAGGGACCAAAGTGAAATTAATTTAAGGACCGAGTTGAAAGGAATTTAAAATGTTCTGGGCCGCAGTGAAAACTACTCCAAAGATTAGGGGCCAAAGTGCAAAATTCGGTTTCTGATTTGGGAGAAGAAAGGCCATCGGGCCGTTATTTTTATTATTTTGGGCCGGATACTACCTAAGTCCAACCGAAACCCAAAAGAAACGAGCAGGCCAGCCCGTCTTTTTATCCCTCAAGCCCAACCAAAAAAGAAGCATGAGTCTGACCTTCTAGCCCAACCGAAATTAAGAAACAAGCCCACTAAAAATTTTAGCCCAACCCACCTTCTTTTTTTTCTTTCCTTTTTTTTCTTTTTCTTCTTCTCTTTTCTTTCTTTCTTCTTCCTCCACTTCTTCTTCTACCATCCCGGTTCTTCTTTTTCTTGCCTGGCCGGCTGAAGCTCCTCGCCACCGCCAACCATGCCTGACATGGCGGCTGCCGGCGCCGCCACCACCGGTCGCCGGCGAATTTTTTCCGATCACAAAAATTATCAAAATACACACCCCAACTCGATTTTTCGCGTAGAATCCAATTCCGGAGTTAGTTTTTACAAAAAATGAGCCGAAAGTGGTCAAAATGCCAAGAAATCAGTTCAGTTTTTATTCTTTTAAAACCCTCAAATATTCACCAAAAATCATAAAAATTATACCAAAACCCTCCTTATAACTTCCACAATACAACTATAATCTTAGTTTGATAAGTAAACAAAAACAAAAGGATGCATTAAATCAAAACAGCCCCAAAAATGAAGAAAATTATTCTAATGTCTTTAAAGCTCAAAACTCCAAAAAAATTAGATAAGCACACATTTCCAAGCCCGGTGCTAGCTAACGGTCATCCGTTTTGACAACAACATGCAGAATATTCAGCTTTTTAATCCGTTTTTCCATTTCGGCATTTTATCAAGCATTTGGCATGCATTCACAGCATCGTTTCTTTTTTCTTAATTTCATCCAGGCTTGTCCCAAAAAAACTTCAACAACACCACAATAGCAACAAAATCAGTGAAAGAAAGAGACAAATAGGTAGCCAAACATGCATTTAATCTAATTAATTAAAAAAAGGAAAAGCTGGAAAGAATACCTCAATGAGGTTGTGGTCCTTTGACTAAAATTTCGAGGAAGCTCCAGGCTCTTTGTCCAACCGGCGGCTGCCTCCTTGTTTCTGAATTGTGTGTTGAGTTTGCTGGAAAAAAGAGAGGGAGCCGAGAGGGAGAACCCAGGGAGTTTTCTTTTCTTGTTGTGGCTTGTCTCCTATGGCAGCCAAAGAGAGCCGAGAGATACTTGTAGCCAAAATGGAGCTTGTGTGCTCAATCTTTCGAAATGATGACTTCTGCCAATGAAAAGAAAGGTGCATGGCAATTGAGTGTGGAATGGGTTAATAGTTGTTTTGGTAGAGAAAATGATTATGATGATTTTTTTTCTTTTTGTTGTTTGTTGTGTTTTTTTTTTTTTTGTTTGGTTTGTTTTTCTTTTCTTTTCTCTCTTTTTTTTTCAAGCAAACCTGCAAAAATGAGAAAAATGCACATTAAAATGTTAGAAAATAAATAATTCATTAAATAGAAAAATCTTGAGAAAATATTAAAAATTGACAAAAATTTGGTGTCTACAGCTTGCCCCTCTTTGTCTAGAGTTTCAAAGAAACTCAAGACAAAGACGTAGACACCAAATTGCTTACCTGTCTCTTGTAACTGCACCTGAACTAAAATAAACAAGCCAACACTTGGCTGAAATTATTGGACAAAATGATGAAATAACATTGCAGAAAATGTGACCGAACTCATGTAGAGTTGCCTACGTATCCCACCATGGGAATCAGGTCAAACGTAGTTCGAATGCAAGTGAACCACAATGAAACAAGTGCATTGACAAACTGCGGTCTTTGCAAAGTCGAAAAAGTTTGAGCTCTCAGAACTTCTAAACAGGAAATACAAAATGAATGTTAAAGCACAATTATTAACCAAATAATCAAGAGAAACGGTCAGTGGGATGCGACCCGAGCCTGCCGAGGTTGGTGGGATAAAACCGATGCCCAACGAAAATAAAAAAGGTCAGTGGGATAAAACCCGAGTCTGCCGAGGTTGGAGGGATAAAACCCATGCCCAATTAAAATAAAAACGGTCAGTGGGATAAAACCCGAGCCTGCCGAGGTTGGAGGGATAAAACCCATGCCCAACGAAAATAAAAAAAGTCAGTGGGATAAAACCCGAGTCTGCCCATGCCCAACGATAATAAAAACGGTCAGCGGGATAAAACCCGAGCCTGCCGAGGTTGGAGGGATAAAACCCATGCCCAACGACAATAAAAAATGGTCAGTGGGATAAAACCCGAGCCTGCCGAGGTTGGAGGGATAAAACTCATGCCCAACGACAATAAAAACGGTCAGTGGGATAAAATCCGAGCCTGCCGAGGTTGGAGGGATACAACCCATGCCCAACGACAATAAAAAACGGTCAGTGGGATAAAAACGCCGAGCCTGCCGAACGACAATAAAAAAAACGGTCAGTGGGATAAAACCCGAGCCTGCCGAGCGACAATAAAAAAAACGGTCAGTGGGATGAAACCCGAGCCTGCCGAGGTTGGAGGGATACAACCCATGCCCAACGACAATAAAAACGGTCAGTGGGATAAAACCCGAGCCTGCCGAGTTTGGAGGGATAAAACCCATGCCCTAACGATAATAAAAACGGTCAGTGGGATAAAACCCGAGCCTACCGAGGTTGGAGGGATACAACCCATGCCCAACGACAATAAAAAAAATGGTCAGTGGGATAAAACCCGAGCCTGCCGAGCGACAAAAAAAAAAAACGGTCAGTGGGA